AAAATAAGTTGGGTGAAACGTGTGTTTTTAGGATAAGTGTGGGGGAAGATCCGGTTTGTTTGAGCAACCGGTTGAGCTTGCATTCGTGGGTTAGGAGTTTGAGTTGTTCCGAAGAGCCTACGTTACAACCCTGAAAGACCTTCTGATTCACTAGTCTCGATTTTGATTGGTTTAGAGTAGAAGTTAGATAATGGGCAAGTCTATGATTGAACTTGTTGTCGACCAATTTGAGTGCATCCATATCTTTATCTGTATAAGAAAGTGAGTGAGGCACACATATACATTCCATACTTGAGAGGACGTCATATTAAAGTTTAGCGATCAAGCATGTAGTCGTGTTATGTTCGTATGTGCCATTTGAATGCTCATTGTTGAAGTTGAATGTGTTGAGACTTATCTTGTTATTGACTGATGTCCAGGCTTATTTTGATTTTGTGTCTTTTCTTTTCTTTACTTTTTGTTCGGGACGAACAAAGGTCTTAGTGTGGGGGAGTTGTTTATCCCATTTTTGTATCTTTATTTCATGTTTATTTTTTTCTTTGTTTTCCCCCATTTGTAGGGTTTTCGTAGTTTATTTGGTCCATTACTTTCGTTTTGTGTTTTTGCCTTTAGTTTATGTTTATGTGTCTTTTTGCCGTGTGTTGCTTCATGTTTTTCCGTGTTTGTGTTTTCAGGAGGTAGGTTGTGCCGGTCGAGGTTAGGGTTACTTGAGCTGAGACTGTGATATCGAGAATTCCTGTGGCCGAGCCCAGGAAACGACGAAGAGGACTGAAAAATGGACAGAAAACGCGCCTAGCATTTGTCGCGACTCGAGATTCGTCTCGCGACTCGCGACTCGGGTCGCGACTCGCGAACATGTCGCGACCTGCGAGAAAAACTGGGGCTAAAGGTGCAGTTCCGGAGCGAGAGTCGCGACTCGCGAGTGATGTCGCGACCAAACCCCAGAAGTTTAACATTTTGATGACGTGCGACTAGCGAGGATGTCGCGACTCGCGATCGAGGAAAAGGCAAAGTCGCGACTCGTGACTTATCTGTGCGAATTTCGAGGAGCGGGATTTTAATATCAGATTTCGGTCCTAGGGATCATTATTCGACTTCCAGACTTTATTTTTACGTTTTCTCTCTCTAGAAACTCATTCCTTTTCATGCCTTTTCTCTTTTGATTCAATTTGGAGATTGAAAAACTCCTTTTTCTCGCTTTGGATTTGGATGCTCTTGGATTTGACATTGGATTCTTTATATTAATCATAAGTTCCTTTTCTCAATTGCTTGTTGATGATGATGGCTTGGGTTGATATGAATTGTGATGCCAAATTTGTTATGAGTAGCTAAATCCATTTGCTAGGGATAGAGGATGATTGATTAGGTTCGTTATAATTGAACGCTTTTGATTGTTCATATCTATTCGAGTTGTGTGCATTATAGGGTTAGTTGATTGATCACCATTCTAACCTAGATAATCAACGTGCAGAACCGAGAGGGGAGACGTTGGTCGATTTAGGCTAATTTAGAATAGACTTGTTCGTCATGGTATTGTCTAAGTGTTGCTGGAATTGATAGTTGATCATTTACATTCACTCTCTTGTTACGAAGAGTTATTGAGAGTGTACCTCTAAACAAGAAACGATTCTAGTCCTTTCACCGAGCAATTGATCGCCGGTGATTATGTTAGAACCGAAAATAATTATCCCCGTTTTCCTAGCTCTTTAATCATTCAGAGAATTTATTTGCCATTTTACTATCATTTTATTTAGTTTAAATCATTAGTTGATAATTGAAACCCAAAAATATTGAATTAGAGTGTTTAAGAATTTGTCTTCTCTTTTTCGTGATTGAATAATCGCACAAGAATATTCGGCTAACCTTCCTTGCGATACGACCCGGGGAACGAATCTTTCGATTCTACTCCGGTAAAAATACTGACAACATGCCCCTACTAGGTTGGACAAACCCCATAGACTGCCCCTTAACATTGAAGGAAAAGTAGGTGGAGCAGACACAGGCTAAAACTCAAGAGATAAACTTGTCATACAACCCCATCTTACTACAAATCCTAGTAAAAAACTCCTGCTCTATCCTATCATATGTCTTAGACATGTCTAGTTTAACAGCCATGAAGTTCTCCTTGCCTTGTTTCCTGCTATTAAGAAAATGAATGCACTCATTGGCAATAATGGCATTGTCATGATTCTCCCTGCCATAAAGGCAGACTGGGAGGCAGAAATGCAAAGATGCAAGACAATCTTTAACCTTAATGAAAGGATATTTGCTATGGGTTTGTGAATCACATTGCACAAGCTTATGGGTCTGTAATCAGAAAATAGAAGAAGAATTTTCTTCTTAGGGATCAAATAATGATAGTGTGGTTGATGCCCTCAGGGATTCTGCCTGTCGCGAAATTTTTTGTAATTGCAACACAAAGATGAGTTTTAGCAATATCCCAAGAGCTTTGAAAAAATAAGGCTGTCATGCCATCAGCCGTAGGGGTTTTCTCATTGTTCATCTCATTTAGAGCCTTCTTAATTTCCCCCTCCTCAACCTCCCTAGTTAGCTCCAAATTTAACTCTCTAGTGATGGCCACATGAATTCCCTCCAAGCAACAGTTATCCACATCCGGATTGGTGGTTTTGAACAGATTATGAAAGTAATGTTCTAAGGTCTCAACAGCCTCTTGATCAGAAAGACATCTATTGCCACCAATCCCAATAAGATTTTACAAGCTGTTAGTTTTTCTCCTTTGCTTAACAGAAGCCAGGAAAAACTTAGTGTTTTTATCTCCCTCCCTGAGCCAACTAACCCGAGCTTTCTGCTTCCAGAAGAGTTCATCCTCTTTATAAGCTAAATGCAACAAAGACCTAATGCTTTCACAAGTATCCCAATCCTTATCTCCTCCCAATCTCCCTAAATCTTTAAGTTTCTCTTTCAATTCAGGGATCACTTTAGCAGGATATCTGTGGCTGAGAAACATTCCACCCCAATAAGGCCATCCTAACATTTCTACTTCTATTCTGCAGACTAAACAAAATAGGGCCAACAACATCCAAATTCCAGGCCCTTTTCACCACCTCAAGAAATCCCTCCCGCCTACCCCGTCTAGCATTAAAGATAAATCTTCTAAGGTGGTCAAACTCAATATGATCCACCATAATACAAGCATACAGTGGTCAGAAAAAAAAAATTACAGGAATGTGCTTAACCAATGCATTTAGGAACTAAAGATTCCAATCTGGAGAGAAAAAAAATCTATGTAGCTTGACCTCAATGAAGTCTTTGCCCTTCCTATCGAGTGTGATAAATTTAGTTTTTCATTGGTCATAAATCACTTTTTCGTTTAGTTTTCAATTCGACTTGGAATGCTCATATTCAAGTAGAATGTGTATTATCATCGACTCATTTGATTCAGATATGATATAGTGTAAAGAATAAAATTAAGAATGAAATTGAGTAAATAACACCATGTTTTATATTTAAAACATAGTAATTGAGGAACTTTATAAGAGTATTAAAAATGAAAGCAATAGATATTTGCTTTTCAAAGAATATATTGCTTTCATATATTTTCAAGAGGAATTGTCATATGAAAATTCATTTGGCCAATATAAGATTGCAGACTTTAGTATTTGCTTTTGAAATAATATCTTGCTTTCATATGTTTCCAAGAGTCATTGTCAAATGCAAATTCATTTGTCTAAGGGAGATTGCAAATTTTGGGATCTTGTATGTTATTTTGAAACAATTATATTGGTAGACTTATATTTTTATTTCTGTCAACCTATTTTTCCGACATTCCATGATATTTTTGATAGCATAACATCAGGTAAATAAGTTTATCATCAGTTTATTTTTCTTTTTTAAACTTTTCTCGTAGTGCTAAGTTCTAATCTCAAAACAAGAAAATATATACACAATCACTTATAAATTTTTTTTCATTGGATATGAAACGTTTTTCTTTTTTCTTTTTCTTTTTTCTTTGTTTTTGCTTGAATGATGAAAACAAATATGAATTTGAGGTGTTTTTGGCAGATTTGATTCAACAGGACACGTTGACAGTGTAGATCAATTTGGCAACTGTTGTATTTTTACTAACATTTGGTACTTTTCAATTGATAAAAATAAAATTCATCACTAGAATTTTA